GAGGCGGTCCAAAGGGGGCAGAAAGGGGGGTCCGAGTAAGGGCAAGTGTTTCACACAGTAAACACAAGTTAATGAAATTAAAACGTAAGCAGCAGACACACAAAAACGCAATAAACACAAAAGAAATTACAATTAAATTGAAAGCAAAGAGAAAGACCATCTATTGGAGTGCGAGGAAGCGAGAGGGCAATATCGGGGAGGGAGTGAGATGGGGCTAGCGTGCTTCCCACATTCTGCACTCTTCACTCCTTTTGCCCAGTGCAACTTGACATGCAACCCGAATGGAAATGGAAATGAACTTTGAAGCCTGCGTGGGCCGTTGTTTCTCAGTTTCTCGGCGGCTTGAGAATTTCAAGTCGCCGGCTATCGCGATGCTCCAAATGCCCCCTCATCGTCAGACCCCCCTTTCTCCCCCTCCCTAACTTTTTTCCAACCCCACCCCTGCCGCATTTCTTCTGTGATGGCGTGCGCGACTTTTAATCGCATTCGCTTCAATTGTCGGAATTTTATTGTGAAACCAACTAAGACTTTGGGCGTCAAAGCCTCCCAACCCCACCCCCTTCCACTAACTAAACTATCCCCCTTTTGGGCTTTCCATGAACATCTTTCATAACGCTTCAAATGCGAAAAGAAACCTTTGAAAAAATTAAAAAAAGTGAAAACCTTTCCCAGAGTTACGGGTACAGTGAAAGCTCGCATGGGTGACCTTTAAAGTACTTAGTTAATGGGTGATTTTTATCAGCAACTAAATCGGTTTTGTACCGATATAGAAGTTTCGTTCTTGATCCTGAAATAAAAAACCAAAAGGTGACCCCGATTTTTCAGCATGACCTTTCAAGGGTAAAATTCGAACTTAAAACAAACTGAATTAAATTCACATCGTTTATAATGAGTTGGTATATTTTAATAAGTTAATATATTTTACTATTTTGTAAAAAAAATTACATTTTTTTAAACTGGTGACCCAAATCTTATTATTTTAAAAAAAATTTGTTAACTTTTTTACTTGCGTATTACTTTTTTAATTTTGATTTAAATGAAATTAAAATGATTCAATGATTTTTGATCAAAATGGTTGATTTGTATATTCATTTCTTCTGTGTAAGCTCCCATAACTTTTTCTTTGATCCCACCATCCCGCCGACATAAGCGCCACCCACCTGGTAAACATTTTTCAATTATAGTTTTATAATAATTTTCTCGTCATTGTTGGTAGTTCATGTTCGTCTTGTTGTTGTTGCTTGCAGTTCATTTGTTGTTGCGTTTTGTTAACGTAACTTTCTTCGTTATTCTTTCACTTTTTTCGACCCGCCCACTGAAACTCGAGGGAGCTGCCATCTCAACTCGTTTTCCATAACTTTTGCTCTCGACCCAAAGGCATTTAAGCCGCGTTGTAATTATGTATTTTTTCCCGTACATTTCATTTCTCTCTCACTATTTCTTTTGGGTGGCTTTATGCACCCTGCGGCTTCAGTAATTAAATTTGTTTTTGTCTCTCGCCCTTTCGCTTGCCAACTTGCAATTGCAACTAACTATTTACTCAGGAGGGAAATCTTTCCCAGGAGTTGTGGAAAAAATTCCAAAAACGTGTGTTTCGAGCCAATTTAGCTGGCCCATTGAAGCGCATAAATCAATAAAGGAAAATAGCTAAAAAACGCACACATATTTGATAACCTTAGGAAAAAGTACTTGGGGCAAAGGAATGGAATGGCAGGCAAATAATGCAAACACAAATAGTCAGCATTATGTAAATGAAATGTTTGCCCAATGCAAACACAAAATGCGGTCGACTAGGGGGAAATCTAGAACAGCAGCTCAAGGAGCAGGTCACTGGAAAAATAGATTGAATAAACCAATTACCACCCACTTTTTAAGCAAATAGAGGCGATGGGGTTTAAGGTTTAAAGGTAAAACATTTAATTGCAAATTGAGGGCGGTGCCATTTTATACAATCATTTTAAAAAGTTTGATAAAACATAACAAAAATAAAAAAATTATAAACTTAAAAAAATGAATAGGAGAAAAAAAACAAATTTAAAATATTTTATATTTTAGGTTTTAATTTTTAGTAACACATTCGGATGCTGAACCTTTACTTCTTTAGGCTTTGCGTTGATTTGAATAATTTTATATATGTAAATAGAATAGTTGGATAAGTAAAGGACTTTTCGATGCTTTCCATTAGACCAATAATATTTTTCATATATTTCGTAAGTACCCTTTTTAATTGGTAATAAACCCTTTGAATAACCTTCCCATTAATATTTTATTTTCTGTGTAAAGAGGGGATATGAAAAACCATTGCTAGCTCCAAAGGAGGTTGGCTTGCATAATCAACTTCAACGGCGAGTTGAACTTCGATTTTTGCCTTTTGCCAAATGAGCCAAGCAGGAAGGCAAACACACAGGGTCCCAAAAGGGAAGTGTGGGGAGGAAAATGAACCGACACCGGCACAGAGGAAGTTGGATGTTTGTTTCAAGGATATTGTGCGTTTCAGTGTCCTGCACACGAACAAGTTGCGTGCCAAGGACAAAACACAGAACTGAACTGAGCTGAAAAAGCTGAAAGCAGCAGACCAAGTTGAACAAACCGGCCCAAAGCAGCCAGGAATCGATGTTTAAGGACATTAAGGATACACCTGTCGATATTTTTACAGTTTTTGGCATGCGCCTGCCTGCCTTCCTTTCTTTCGCCCCCCAATATTTCGGATCCATTAACCGGTTTGCCAGTTGTGCGCCAGGATCATTAAGGGGCAGACCAAGAGCAACACTTCCGTCTGCGAAACAAGTTTTTCGCTTTGGAAACACATAGCAGGGAACAGGGAACTGGGAACAGGACACGACAGGACCTTCCACTATCCCAGTTGTTCGGGGCCACAGGTAATCACCATTAAAACTCATTACCAAGAGCAACTGCACCGCACCACAACAGAACTGAAACGAACCGAAAACCAAACCGAAAAGGACACGCCATGGAAACTCAGAACCGAAAGCCCTTTGAAAATAAACCAAAAACACTATAAACTAGCCGAAACCAAAACATGCACATAAAGTAGTTAGCCCTCGGGCCCAAAGCCCACTGGTTCTTTTAGATTAGTCAGCCTGCGAGTTATTTGCTGTCTACTCGAAACAAGGAGCCCATTAAATTGAATTAGTCCTTGGTTTTCACATCAGCAGATACATTCTTCGGTTGGAATATATGTTAAACTTTTAATGAAGTTTTTTTTATATTTAAAAAGAAACTTGAAATAACAGAAGTTCTATTTTAATCTTAACAATAAAATTAGTTTTATGTATTATAATTGAAATAAGTTTATTATTTTATGCTTATAAAAAAAGTACTGAAATATAAGGCCACATAACTAGAATTTCATTTTAGATTTTTTTCCACCATATGTAAAAGGTTTTTTTTGGTAAAAAGTCTAACAATGTGTTTGATGTACGGCCAGCTCTATTAGTTCTTACCATACATTTCACCCAGAAAAAAAAGACCGAAAAAATCTAAGACCGAATTTCTTACATTACTACCGTTTTGTTCTTTTATTTTTTTAAGACCATATTCTTATATTGATACCAAAGGGTATTGATTTAAGACCAGTAAATTTAGATTTAAGTTGAACTTATGCACGCGCGCGAAGCACGGTGCGATGGCCCAGTTGGTAAGGCGTCTGCCTCTGATGCGAGAGGACCCCGGTTCAAAAACCGGACAAGTCAAAGTAAGTAAAAAGTTTTTCAAATGTATTTCAATTAATATTTCCTTAATAACTTTAAGAACAAAAATGTATTTAAAAAGTTAAGTTGTTAATTTACTAATTAAAAAAAAAAAAAAAGTTGCGTTGTGAGCGGGAATTGAACCTCGTACCCCCAAACACAAAATAATACCAGAATCCAGCACCTTGGCCCCTGGGCTATGGCCTTATTATTTCCTTCCATGGCAGAATGCTTACAGGAGCATTCAAAGAAATTTATTTATGTACTAAAAATAAATTTAAATTTAAGTACGTTTTGTTCTTAGAGTAAGAACAGCGGTCTTAAAAATCCGTTCTTAAAATAATACCATAAATTCTTATAATGATACCAAACGGTATAAAGCTATTTTTGAGACTCAAACAGACACGTTTTCAGACACAATCAGAACAATTTTTTCCCTGAGTGTTCTTTTTATGCAACATTTAATTTGAAGATTTATGATCATAGCTTCGAAGGGCTTTGTATCCCTGGCTTATTGCAAAAATGCCTTTTTGGCGTTTCTTTTTTTTCGACTCCTTCCTCCCTGCTAAGAATTCGGAATTCCGTCTTAATCTCAAGTTCGAGCACTTTCGGGGTTGCATTTTGGCCTTCTTTTCTTTGGTGCTGCCGCAGCGGAAATAAATTTCTTGTGAGTGCAAAAAAAGAAATAAATTCTTGACTCTTTTATGGCCGTCTAGGGCCATTAAAAGGGGGGCGACACAAAGGAGGAGAAAGGGGGCACCCGGGGGATATAGACCTGAATGATGGCGCCTCTGGCGATGTCGAATGTCGTCGTCTGCCAAATCGAGAGACGCGTCGGGGAGAAATTGCGCTGCAGTTGTCGTCAAAGCCGGAGACAGTCGCAGAAAGAGAGACAACCTTGAGCTAATTTGGCCATAGTCAGCACCGCGTAATCCCCGTTGGCACTGAGAGAAAATGGTAGTAAAAAGGAACTGATATTTTTTTTCATTTTTACAATGAAACAGTGGTCCCAAATAGAGGAAGTATACGTTATATGACATTTAATCGACAGATTAAAAAAAATTATTTAAAATTTTAATTAATTACTTTTAGTTTATGTTTGTCATCATAATCATAACAAAAACATTAAAAATTCTTTAAAAAATATCTTAGGGTGGTTCTAGTAATTTTTCCCATTTAAATAAAATCCTATAAATTCAATCTAAATATTTTATTCAAGTGATCACTCTTCCCCTTCCTTCCAGAAGGCCGTCGCCGGGGCCAGACAGCATTCCGCTCATCTCACCATGACAGAAGCCGCCTCAGCTGCTCCTGCTAAGTGGGGCACCGTCACAAGGCAGACGCCCCAAAAATAGACCCCGCAGCCAAAGGGAGGAGGTGGTGGTGGAGCAGGAGGAGGAGGAGATGCCGCCCAGTACCGTTCTGCAAATGCCGACGGCTCCGTCTTCGTCGAAATCCGGACTGGTGCTGGGCGTCTGCTGTGACCAGCTGATGGCGGTGCAGCATCCAGTGCATCATCCAGTGCACCGGGCATCCGGAGCAGCAGCATCCAAAAGTAGTGCCCCGGATTGGGGGAATCACAAGGCGAAACATCTTGAGGGGATTGCTACCACGACTTCCAAGTGGATTCCACCCTTTTTCATTATCCTCGTCTCGCTCTTGGAGGTGAGTACACACATACCAAGCTAAAGCCCCACGTCGGGCGCCAAAATGTGACCGCTTTTTAATGCGATTACGAGGGTTGATTGAGGGTCATAAAAGCCACATTTGGGGGTGGCCTCAAAGGTTGGGCCATGAGGTTTCCATGACATCGCATATAAAAGCACAACATTCTGGTTCGGTTTAATTGTTGGCTTATATAGTAGAAGTTGCCCAGCAACCCTTGGGATAGCCAACATATTGGAATTGGGCTTACATCTATCCCCTGATCTCTTGTGATGGCTGATAAAGGTCTTGGTAATTACTTATAATACGATTTAATCTCAGTCTTTTATCTTATATATTTTTTAAATTTACTTTTGGTCTTAAATATTCCAGAAAAAATCAATAACCTCAATTTCAGGTTGAATTACATCTTATAAAAAATAGTAATCAACCCTATAAGGCAATTTCTATAGGTTTTTGCACATTTTCCATTCAGCTTTAGTCCAATTTTCATTACATTTAGCCCCACACCCAAGTATTTACAGCCAGAATGCCCCACAGCATCTTACAGTCACGTCTGAATCGCGTTTTGTATCTCAAATTAAACGGGATGGCCAGCGAAGAGGGTTGTTTGTTTGGCCATAACAAAGATGCCGTATCATATTTCAGAATCCCCCCCAAGTATTTCCTCTACCTCCACCCATGCCACCCACAAACATCGGAGATCTGGTCGAGCAATTGACTTTTGAGGCAAACAAATTGCCGACAGGGCCACACACACAGAATACTTAGAGTTCCTCTGGCGAAACCCAAACCCAATGCATTTGTAAATGGAAGTTGGCTTCCGGTTAAAGGATATACGAGTAGCATAAGTGAGGGGCGTGAGGAGGGAAAAAAAAGGGGGGCCTTTCTGGTTATATAGCAGAAGGGATAGGGATACAGAGTGCGTGCGAAAAATCCAACACGTCTACGATTTGTTTTCCGCGTCTGGCTTTTTGCACACCACACAGACTGGACGCCGCCGGGCCACAGAAAAAGGGGCGATTTGGGTTGGGATTCAGTGGGGGAAATAATGGGGAATATACATATATAGGGAAAAGGGAAGGAAAAGGAATTGATGGCGACGTCTCGTCGCTGTCTGCTGGCAGTCTGCGCCTTTGGGGGTTGCTCTGGCCACCCCTTCTCCTCCAGGAAAGCTGTCTCGGCTGTGCGGGCTTGATGATTTTATTGCTTCCCTCCTTTATCCTGGGTATGGGGGTTCCCCCATAAAAGCCCTGCTCTTGAAGTGGTTCGGAACTAGTTCGGGATAAGAGAGATTTATGCAAAAGGTTGCTTGGGATGTGGAAGCTTTGTTTGCTTAGTCATAAAAAGTTAAGTGTTTCGAGACAGTTTGCCATTTTAATCTAAATTTATTTTTATAGATCTCTAGAGTTGGGATTAAAGTTTTTAAAGGTACAGAAATAATTACTGAATAATTCTAAAGAATATAATTTAAATTTATTTACTAATTTAAACTGATTTTGGCATTTATTTTATATTGATATATGTATCTATGATGTTATTACTATGGAGTTTAAGGATGTATTTACAAATAATAACTAAATAAAACTGAGAAGTATTTTAAACTACCTTAAAAATGTTCTTATGGATTTTACATCCTATCCTAACAATTATGCTATACATATACATATATTGGATTCAGAGATTTTAACTTATTTTATTAAGTTTATAATTATATTTAATATAGCAATATTATTTAGTTATTTATACATTCTTTAATTCTTTTATAACCCCACAGCTTCTTGTATTTCTGTGCGTGGGAGCTGATTCACCAGAGGATTCCCTTCTGGTCTATCGTCCTGACCAGCGTCTCCAGCTCTGGAGATTCCTCAGCTATGCCCTGCTTCATGCCAGTTGGCTCCATTTGGGTTACAACGTTCTCACCCAGCTGCTATTCGGAGTTCCCTTGGAGTTGGTACATGGATCGCTGAGAACGGGTGTGATTTACATGGCTGGCGTTTTGGCTGGATCTCTGGGAACTTCGGTGGTGGACTCGGAGGTTTATCTGGTGGGTGCTAGTGGGGGAGTATATGCCCTACTGGCCGCCCAACTGGCGAGTCTTTTGCTCAACTTTGGCCAAATGCGACATGGAGTTTTTCAGCTAATGGCGGTGATTGTTTTTGGTAAGATAACTAAACTTAAAAATTAAAAATTGCGTGCTTAGGAAAATTAAAAAGCTTTATTTAGAACGCAAAAAGTTAATAGAAAACAAATTAAATAGCACGATTTAATTTTAAAATATTTTACTAAAGCTAGAAAATATATGTGAAATTTATTTTAAGCATTATTTAACTTTAAAAAAAAAGGCTTACAATATTTGTTAAATTTTATATTTCTATATTTTAAATTAAAGATAACTACAATGCCTGAAATTAAATTAAAATTTGGCAAAAATAGTTAAATTAAATATAAAATAACGGATTTACTACAGTTTAAAATATAACTTAAAATAAAGCATCTGTTAATTGTCCTGTTATTAGATTCCCATTTTAATAATTTTATTATTTCCTTTCTTTTCAGTCTTTTGCGATCTTGGCTATGCCTTATACTCCCGAGAACTGGCAATGCAGCAACTGCAGACGCGACCCTCGGTCTCCTATATCGCCCACATGACCGGAGCTCTGGCGGGAATCAGTGTGGGTCTGCTGCTCCTCCGGCAGCTGGATGGTGGCCTCCGACCACGCCCCCTCCGCTGGCTGGCCCTGGGCGTTTGGTGCTTGTTCAGTGCCTTTGGGATCGCCTTCAACCTGGTCAACACGGTGACAGCTCAACTCCTTGCCGAGGAGGAGGGTCAGGTGATCAGGCAGCACCTGATGAAGGACCTCGGAATGGGATGAGGATCCTTAAAAGACTGCATCCCATACTCATATATGTCTCCTCTTATGCCTTAGTCTCTAGTCACTAGTCGGTAAGACTTTCCCCAGGACAGTGTGCTCAAATAACATATCTATGTATCAATATATATCCATCGGATATCCTGTATCCTGCTCAAAATACTCTTAGCTCGTAAGTCGTCCCCAAAAAACATTTATCTTATGCCAATGCCAAAGGAGTGGAGAAAAGGGCCTTTCAACAACTGAGCCTGGCTCATCACATCAAAGACTTAGGATCGGGTTTGGATTGGGTTACCTAATCGATGGACTCCTCCTCCATTGAGTTGCCTACTACTTAGTTTTAATGCCAAACCAGAGCTTAAAGACCTAAAAATATATATCTGAAATATAATTATTTGAAAAGAGAATTTCAACTCAATAAATTACCAAACTAAAGAGTAAGCCTAAATGTGTTTTATTCGGGGTAAATCTGTAACAATGGGAGAAACCATTCTAATCTGAGGTAAAAACTGCGCCAAAAATCCATGCTAATTTCCCCAATCAGCTCAAAACGGCTGCCAATCAATGGGCCAACATTTCGAGGGGCCAGGCCAGAAATTAATAACAAACAAAAACAGAAATTAGCCATCAGCTTTTGGACATTGTTCTGTTTTCAGATTGCCTCACCAGTTGTACAGAGAAAAAAGCAGTCTAAATCTCAAATAAATGGCCAAATGAAAATGAGAACGATTGTTATTTAATTAGGAGGGAATGTTCTTAAATCAAGAAAAATAAGATCATTTTTATTTTTTTTAAGAACGATTTTTTTAAATAATAAAGATTTTCTTATTTTAATATGAGTTTTGTCTTTATTTAAGAACATTTTTTCTTCATTTAATAATGTTTTTTTCCTTATTTAAGATTTATTTCTTTGTTTAAGAACGTTTGTTCTTATTTTAGTTAGTTAAATTTTCGAACAAAATTGTTCCTTAAATTATTTTTTGCCTCAGTGTAGTAACCCCATTAGCCATGGTCAAAACCGGGGGGGAAACTCTATTATTATCGGTTTTGGATTTCGCATTGGCCGAAAATGAAATTGTAAACTTGTACCGAATGTGTTTTCTGGGGAGCCGAAACGACGGGCCAACTGCCAACCGCAGCACCACCAAAAACCAAGAGTGCATTTTGATGAGACATTGATGGTTCAATCGAACAGTCCAACAAGCCAACAAACCAACGACTAACCCACCCAGCCAGTTGAGCCAATTTAGCAAGCCATTTGCGATTCCTCAATCGAATCGGATTGGAAATGGAAGTAGAGGGATCTTCGGGGGATCTCTGATTTTAGATGGAGGATCGCTTGGAGGATCACCTCGAGTTCTCGTTAAGTCGTCACCAGTGGCATCGCTTCAAATCGCCTGGTATCGAGTATCAAAGTATCCCAGCATACCAAGTATCGTACTGCCTCCAACTCAATTGACAGTTGACAACAAATATTTGTGACATTAAATGCGGCTGCTCGCAGATGCGAACCTTCAGGGGTTCCTCAATGAAACAAGAGGTTCTTTAGAGGTTTAAGCTTCTTCGGGATCGTGCACTCAAAAAAAAAGGAAGCTGGAATTATTGGGATAATGTAAAGAGTTATTAAGAATTTTATAAAACTGATTTAATGACGAGAAAGATAATTATAATATTAAAAATTAATGACAATTACGTAAGAGAAGTTTTTTGAAAAAATTTAAGAACAGAATTGTAATTTTAGACCTCTATAAAATTTGATTTAATATTAGAATATTTATTAAATTCCTTAATTGTCTAGTAGGCTGAAAAAATTATTTATAAAATCGATAATAAAGGGGCATTAAATAGAAATCATCGATTTAATAATCTAATTTTTTATCCCAAAGAATGATCATCAACTAAAGATAACCCACTTTATTCAGTATTATTTTCACTCATAGAGTGTTCGTTTTTTTTAAGATCTCTAAAATATAAACAAAACCCCCTTTCTCTGGTATGAAGTACACTTTTTGCTTTATTCGAGGCCATATTTTTCGGAGTGTGCCACCTCCAGTTGAGTTGCAGCTGAATCCTCGGAGACTTGCTCATTTCACTAATTTAATGAAGACCTTTTGCGAGAAAAGCGGGGAGTGAGAGGTAGCGAGCCCATTGTCTCCGTTTCTCTCACTCGAGAGGAGACCGAGTCTCCAGTCTCGGGACTTCTCTTCCCCAGATTGATGATGCGGTTTGGTCGGGCAGCTTTTAAACTGCAGACTCCTTTCAGTGGGTTTTGCAGGGGGGATGGGAAATGGGGATGGGCCTGCATCAATAATTTGTGTCCGCCGTTGAAAATAATTGACCAAGTTTGTCTGTTTGCGGTTGTGGCATTTAATCTACTTGCAGCTGAAGTTCCGAAAGCTGAAGCGACAACTGAACTGCAGCAGCAGCAGCAGCTGCCATTCTGGCCATTTTGCTTGCATTTTGCCATTCGGAGAAGAGGACGACAAGAAGTCGACAAAAAACGGCAAGCCAAGTCCCTGGGCTCCTTGGCCTGCACTTGGCGTAATTGAAATAATTTTAAGTGAAAAATCTGCATTCAAAAAATATTTCAGCGCACACACAAATGTCAGCGACAGGGGAAACAAGGAGCACAGGGAGGAGACAAAATACCAGGAGCAGGACGGGTTGGGGATCGAAAAACATAAGGTTGATCTGGAAATTCCCTACACAAAATCTTAAAAATAAAAAAATGTTGTGAACAAATATTTAAAAAAATTTTCAAATATTTTATAAATAGAAAAAAGTTAGGATTTTGAAGGAACCATTTTAAAAATATCTTATTTGGAACTTTGAAAGTAATTGTAAAAAAATTTTATAAAAGAACAAAACAAACCTTTTTTCCCTTCTAATATTTTTTTAAATATTTAAGAATTCAAAAATATTTTAAAATCTGAGGAATACTTCTTTATTGGACAAAAAAGGATTTAATCAAAAGTACTTTTAATACCTCTAAAAAAGTTCTTTGTTGAAAATCTTTGTCTAAAATGTTGTGAAAAAATTAAAAAATATATAATATATTTACGAATTAAACCCAAACTCCACTGACCAATCCATATACCTAACCCAATAGGTCAGCGACTTTAGCAGACGCAAAAATTTACATGCGCCAATTTGCGGGGACACAGCAAAAAAAGAGTCAACAGTTTGCAGCTTTCGCAGTCCGAAGTTCCGAAGTTCGAACATAATCCTGGGCATTAAGGCAAATTGCAGCATCTGCTGGGGGAGACAGGGGGCTGCAATTCGGATCGATCATTGGAGGAGGGAGCCCAGACCCACCATAATTTGCTTAATTCGACGCTCAGCCCGAAATTCCGACGTCCCCGTTCTCGAATCTGCACCTTTTTTTTCTTCTGGGAGCTTTGGAGTATTCAGCACGCGGCTGCCACTCGTCGATCGACTGATGAGGATGATCCTCCAGCCCTCCAGGAACCCCCCAGATACTTCTCCTCTGCCAGGTGAGGCGGCTTCTTCAGCGGCAGCCTCAATTTGCCATTGCCTGCCCTCGGGGGCAATTTGGAACTGGGTTTTTATTATCTCCTCTCTTTTTTTTTATTTTTTGGGTTATTTTTTTGTGGGCTGCCTTACTTTCGGTGGCTGTAATTTTTGGTCAGGCTTTAAGTGACCATTCAGCCGATAAAACATCTTCTACATAGAAAAACCAAACACAAACCGGAATGTCACAGTTTTTACTCGTTTTACCCGTTACTCGTGGAGTAAAAGGGTATATTGTATTCGTAGAAAAGTATGTAACAGGTAGAAATGAAAAAAAAAATTTTAAATCGAAAAGATATGAGCAATCAACTTTTTCCAATAGATGGCGCCACTTTCAAGCGACTGCTTGCATATCTCCTTCTCTCTCACACTCATTTAGCTGAGTAACGGGTATTCAATAGTCGAGCCTTTCGAGACCATTCTCCCTTGTTTTTTGCTATTTTCCCTGCCCCTTGGGGAGCACTTAAATTCGATAAACAAATGGTCGAAAAAAAAGAAAGAAATACAATATGCATGTCCCACATGCAAAACCAATCGATAACAGCTCGAATTTCCAGCATAAATATTTTTTGGCACATTCTCCATTGCAAGTTGCAAAATTTTTCGGTGTTCATTCGATTTTATTTGCCCATCCAACGAAGGTCTCATGAATTTATCAAAAGTATCTGCATAAAGTCTTGTTTTTGGCATTTGCCATCAATTCTAATTCATATTCTCCTCCTGTTTTTTCGGTATGCAAAGCTTTCGTTTCAGTAACTATGGAAACAAGTAAAAGCGGAGTGCAAGTGACAGGAACTTTAACAGGGATTTCATATTTGCAGCTTGAGAAATGCAGCACATGGGAAATGGAATGACAGCGGCGGGGAAATAAATGCAAAAGCATTATAAATGTATCAAATTCTTTGTTTACAGCATTTTGGTAGGAATATTAAATTAAAGTAAATATAAAAATCCTTTTCCTGTAAATATTCTCTTGTCTTCATATAGCAAATGTATCTTAAAGTTAAGTTAAGAAATTTATTTTAATAAGAAAATTAAATCTACTGTTCAGATAATTATAGGATAATAATATTAGGTTTAATTAGAATAAGAAAAAATATTAAGATTAAAATCGAGCATTTCAGTTTTGTGGATAGGTTTTCTATACTGTCCCAAGATATAGGAATTTTATAAAAAATTTTTGTAAGGCTTTTGATGAGATATTACATGAAATGTCCTCTTTATTTTGAAAGGAGTTTTAATGTTTAAAGACTTTCCCCCAATGGATTGCACCCCACTTTCCCCAAAACGACTGTAAGCCCGAGTTAATTTCATTGATCCCGATCTCCCCCGATTGGCATCCCCCGTTTTCCATTTTCGGGGGGTCGGAACTCATTAAATCTCAACTCGCCGCTGGCTCATAATTCAGCTCAATATAAATCTGTTAACAAAACGCTTAATCCGCTTTGTGCGCGTTTATTTATGGCCATTTGATGGCGCATTATCGCATCAGGCACATGGCACCCGTCGGGGCTCGGATTCCTCTCCTTGGATCCTCCAGCTGGCGCGCCTCATAATTGGATTCGTCACAGTCGTCCCCCTCTGGATCCTATCCCTCCAATGGGCCATAAATCGCGGGCTGCTTGAAATGCAAATGCAAATTTTCGGGACTTGCAGCTTGTTGAAGTCGCAGTCGCTGGCAATTTCAGCTGGAGTATCATCGGCAGGGCATCAAAGTGGCAGCAAATTTTTCCCCGGCTGCTGCTGCCCAATTAACGCCATCCAAAAAAAGAAGCTGCAAAGGAATCTGAATTCGGATTCGGATTCGGAGCAACAGCAATCAGAGTT